AATAGATAGGGAACTCAGTCAAATTTATAAAAATGAGAGCCATTCCCCAAGTAATAAATGGTTAAACGATATAAACAGGAAGTTTTCAGAAAAGGAAATCAAAACTATCTATAGTCATGTGAAAAAATGCTCCAAATTACTGATTAGAGAAATGCAAATTAAAAGAATTCTGAGGTACCACCTAACCCATCAGAAATGACAAATGTTTGAGGATGAGGTAAAATAGGTACACTAATGAACTGTTGGTGGGAATTGTGAACTGGTCCAACCATTCTGGACAACAATTTGTAATTAAGCCCAAAGGACTATAAAACTGTGCATACCCTTTGACCCAGTAATACCACTACCAAGTCTGTACCCCAAAGGGATCAAAGAAAAATGTAAAGGATCTATATGTACAAAAATATTTACAGCAGTTCTTTCTGTGGTGGCAAAGAATTGGAAACTGAGGGGATGCTCATCCATTGGGGAATGACCGTACAAGTTGTGACATATGATTGCAATGGAATACTATTGTTCTGTAAGAAATGATGGGGGTGGTGTCAGAAAAACACAAGAAGATCTATATGAACTGATGCAAAGTAAAGTGAACAAAACCAGGAGATCATTGTACAAAGCAACAGCATTGTTGTAATTATGATCAACTAAAAGACTTAACTATTCTGATTGATACAATGATCCAAGACAATTCCAAAGGACTCATGATGAAAAAATGCTATCCACCTCCAGAGAGAAGTGAAAAACTCCGAGTGCGAACTGAAGTATAATTTTCTCACTTTCTTTGTTTTGCTTTTTTTGTGATATGGCTAATATGGAACTATGTTTTGCATGATTTCACATGTATAATTGATACCATATTGCTTATCTTCTCTGTGGGTGGGGAGGGGTAGAAGAGAGGGAGAGAATTTGGAACTCAATTAAAAAAAAAGAAAGTTGAAAATAAATAATGGTTTTTTTGAAGAGAAAATGAAAAAAAGAAAAGAATGGGTGGATCCCGTGAGCAACAAGATGGTAGACTATGAATTTTCTCCAATCCTCATGACCTCTCAGACCTCTCTAAAACAAAAATTATGCAACAAAGATAAAGCAACTTCTGCTGTTTCTATGGTCTAGGACCTCCAGAATTCGAAAGAAGGAAAAAAAATCCCTCCAAGACCAGGAACTGACACTCACTGACCCTGAGCTCCTTAGCACTACTTCTCACCTCCAAGGTGATACCTAGTTGTATAACAGTAGTTGAAAGTAGAACCAGTTTAAAGAAAGCTTGGTCAAAAACACAATGGAGCAAGGTCAACCTGAGGGCATTTAAAGATGAAAAATAAAAGATCAACAAACAGCAAAATCAAAACCAAAACCAAACAAAAAAATCAGAAGAGATTCGCTAAGATTTTTGTAAGAATTTTATTTATTTATTTTACCATCAAGGACAATAGAACCACCACACTTGAGACTCACGGATAAGTTTATAGCTTATAGAAGAAAAGGCTCTAAAGAGAAAGATGGAAAAAGTATCTGGATTAGACAAAAGAGAGATCCAGGAAAAAGTGGGGCCTAATTGTAAATGTGATGAGGGAATCAATTCTAGTTATCCCCAATTGCCTCTAGGACAAGATAATATAACCAATCAGTCAATTAATAAACATTTATAAATACCTACTATATACTAGGCCCTGTACTAAGCCCTAGGAATACAAAAATAGGCAAAAAAATAAACACAAGTTTGACCATGCCATTTTCCTGCTCAAGAATCTTTGGTGGCTCCCCATTACCTTTAGGATAAAACACAAACCTCTGAGCAAGACATTTAAAGCCTTTGGCTATATAGCTCCCGTCTACCTTTGTAGGCTTATTGCACATTTCCCCCCTCCTTGCAGTTTCTGGCTTCCTAGTGGTTTCTTGAACACAGTCCTCAATCTGCTACCTCCTATCTTTGAAGCCTCATGCCTACAGTTCATTTCCCCTTTCCCCCTAGAATTTCTAACTTCTTTCAAGACTCAGCTCATGTGCCAGAAACCTTTCCGGATCCCGACAGAAGCTCACGGTCTCTCCCTCTTCCTAAAATTAAGGTGTGATGTTTACCTGGTTAGATGTTCTATTTCCCATCCCACCCCCTCACCTTTGGTATAATGTAACCTCCTTGACAGCAGGATCTGTCTTTTTTTTTTTTTGTATCTGCAAGGTCAGGTACACAGAAGGTGCCTAATAAATGTTTGTATGGATTGTTAGCCAGAATGTTAACCAATTGGCCATTTAATTTATCACTTTTCCCATGGTCAAATTCTTCCACCTAGTTACCCCTCCTTTCTCCTTGTCCCAATAAATGAAAAAGATCATGTTCCTTCTTTCTGGGGTGTGGAAGTCCTGCTACACTAGAAAAAAATTTAAATGAGGAGAGGGTGATGAAAGCATTTGGGAACCATCCCAATCTCAATCCAGGCTAGGTTGTAACCAATAGCAAAATGAATTTGTAGGGCACTTTAACTCATTTGCCTCTTTTTGTTGTTAACCCAGTTACCAGTCGGGTTTCTTTGTCTCTCTCATTCCTGAGTCGCACTAAAGCTCTTATCACCATAGCGTCTGATCCTTTACCACTGGATTTGCTAACCTTCTTGGCTTGATACTGGCTCGCTGGCAGATGGCTTCTAGGTCCCCTTCTCTACTAGGGGGCTGCCTATATTTTCTCCCAGAATTATTAGGCACCCACCTATGGGGCAGAGCATGACATAAACAGATTGGGATGATGACCAGTCAGGAGGGTGGGTAAAGCCTAGGTGGCATATGAGATTCCTGGGAAGTGGACGATCCTATCCTTTCAATAGGAAACCTCTCTGGTGGCTAGATTGGAACCTGAAAGTTGAACCACCTCCGTGCACTGATCCTTTGCCCTGCCTGTAACCTTCACTTCCTAAACTGGGTTTAATCTTGTTTCCTCTTCTGCATTTTGTACGAATTGAAGGCCTGTGGTTGTGAATTTGTCTCAGAAAGTGAGCTTTCAAAGGGCTCAGTCTGTTAAATTCTTCATTTTAAAGTCTGTGCAAATCTAAATTTTTTTTTTATCATTCCCTACACAATAGTAGCTCTCCATTGACTATTGTATCAAATGGATACTTGTCAGCCAGATCTGTTTGACTTCCAAGGCCTATTCAACTTCATTCCCCACTCCTCATTCCACATGCAAATCCCTTAGGCTCCAGTGAGGCTAGTCTACCATTGTCCTCTACCCATTCCCCTCCTCCTCCCCACAACATACTTCCAGCTCTTAGTTTATGACCAACTAAAGGGCACTGGATTTCCAGCAGGAGGACCCGAGTTGGAATGTTGATTATGCCATTTAACACCTATGCATTATCTCAAAATATCATTGCAAATGAAATAGCATTTGTTAGGCACTTAGTTAGCACAGTGCCTGATACATAGTAGGTACTTAATAAATGCTGGTTCCTTTCCCCCTTGTGTGACCCTGGGCAAGTCACTTAACCTAGTTCAGTCTCCGTTTCTAATTGGTAAAAAATGAGGTTTTTGATTCAATGATCTCTAAGGTCCTTCCTATCTCTAATCTCTGATCCCATGATCTCAGGCAGGAATGCTCTCCCCTGACAGCAGACAAAGTCTTCAGGGCTCAACCCAAGTCCCACACCCTCCCTCTAGGAAGCTTTTTTTTTGTATTTCAGCTGACATTAACTTCTCTCTTCTCTCCACCACTATTATACTTACAGTCCTAACCTCATAACCAGAATCATATACTGTCTTCAACTGCTCTTTAATTGTGTCCCATGGATGACAGGCATACTCTTGTTGGAATGGTGAACTGGTCTGCCCATTCCGGAAAGCAATTTGGGGTTATGCTAAAAAAAAAATGACTAAACTGTCCATACCCTTTAACATAGAGTTCCCACTGTTGCTATTCACATACCCTAAGGAGGTCAAAGATAGAAAGGTCCTATACATAACAAACTATTCATGGCAGCACTTTTTGTGGTAGCAAAGAATTGAGAAACAAAGGAGGAGGTACCCATTGATTGGGCACATGAATCTGATGGCTAAACAAATTGTGGTACATGAAAATGATAAAATATATGCACCATAAAAAAAGAACATGAAAAATTCAGAGAAGCATAGAAAGACTGATGCAAAATGAAGCAAATAGAACCAAGAAAGCAATTTATACAATGAAGGGAAGGAGGGATGGGAAGCAGAGAATGAGCGTTTATTAAACACCTACTATGTGCCAGGTATAGGGCTTTACAAATATTATCTCATTTGAACTGCAATACTGTAAATGGAAGGAAGGAAAAAAAATAGCTGAATGCTATTATAATGACCAAGCTTGGCCCCAGAGAACAATTGAGAAGATGTACCTTCCTTTTTTTCATTGCAGAGGTGGGGAGGACAATTAGGGTGGAATATTGCATACACTCTTAGATGTGTATTGATTGGTTTTGCTAAAATGATCCCCCACCCTCCCCTTTCTTTTTAAAGCTTTTTTAAGAGGGATGGTTTGCAGGGTGGGACAAGAGGGAGGGATACACATGGAAATGAATTGTGCCATAACAACAAAAGGCTTCAATAAAAATACAAATCATTTTTTTAAAAAGTGTCCCATTTATTAGCCTGATCTCCCTAACTACACTGCAGACTTGAGGGCAGAAACTAGGCCTAAATATATTAGCAGGGAAATTTCCCTCTCAAGAGCATGGAGTTTTTGAAAATGGTAATGATGTCACCAGAAGGTGAGGGTCAGAGGCAGGACAGAATCTTCTCCAAGAAAGTGAGAACTCACTAGTGCACTGTCAGTCCACAAAGGCCTCCTAAAAGTTGCCTTTAGCTAGTTTTCGTGACTCTAGAAGTGTGTTTCAGTTGCCTGGGCCCAAAGCTAACCTGAGAGCTGCCCCTTGGTAAGTCAGGTAGGTTTGAGTCAGATTCCAGTGCTGGGGGTTTCTCCTCAGCCTAGGCTGGAGCCCCAAGAACGGGAGTTCTCTCTTCAATGGGACATAACTTACCTTTTGGGGGAGGGAAGGTTGGGAGGCCCGTCATGGTGGCAGTGGTATAAGTGCAATAAGAGTCTTCACTCCTGGAAAAAGGAGAATGGAAGAAAAAAAATGAAAAGGGGTCTGGAGCCTTTGGTGTTTCTCAATTGGCTCTACCCTGTATTTCTTCAAACCCACTCCTTTTCCCAACCTCTCCATCTCAGAAGACAGGAAGGGGGAACAGTCCATGGGAAATAAATTTCATTCTCTGTCCATTCCTGTGTCTCTAAATTTCTCTGTTTTTCTGTCTTTGGTTATATCTCTCTGAGAGTGTACTTAAGAAGTTGGACTAGTTCCAACCGTGGCTGAGGCCCACTTTTCATTGCATCTATGTTAATTTCATTTGCATTCCAGCAAAGTCCAAACTCTACGCTGCCCATTTACTTTAACTCATCTGGAAAGGGAAACGTAGGGAAATATGTAAGCTAGTTCCTTTGCTGGTTTCTGAAAATGGCACTAAGGCTACAACCTAGGTGGGGAGTATGGGCCCTCTGGAGATTGTCCACTAGGTGTCAGGACAGAGCTGATGGAGACTCGGTCCCAGGCACCTTCAACAGCCTGAAGTGGACTGAGGGTCGGGACGGTTGGGAGGGGGGCACATGTCCCTAGGATGCCATAGTACTAAAAAGTGTCCTCACTCTCTCAAGACCACGCTAGTTGACTGTGGGCCGCCTCTGCCCTGGAGCCATATAATCCTCGAAACGTAAACCCTCACCCCGTAACCCACATCCCGGGTCCTTCCACTCCCAGTCCTGAGTATTTAACCTCCGCCCGGTTATTTCCTCCCCACCCCTACCTTCTCCATTAAGTCCCCAAATAGCAGAGCTTACGTGGTGTGTGCTCCTAGATCCATCCCCTGAGCTCCCCTTCTGGTCCCTCCTTGCCCCTGAACAGAGTAGTAAGCCCACTGCAGAGCTGACTGGAGCGCGTTTCCCACTTTACCTGGAGAGGTGGAGGAGAGCCCAGATGGAGCCAGATGGGGAGAGGACCTGGCCGCTCTGGGGTGTCTCCTGGCTCGGTTCCGGAGACCTTGGAGAAGGAAAGTTGAGCGGTTGGACAGGAGGGATGGAGAGGTTCACGCTTGGTGCCCTAGCCTCAGAAACTGCGGGCTGTGGTGCCTGCGGTGGCAAAGGTGACTGGGAGTGAGTGAGGCGACCAGAAGCAACTTCCCTTCCCTCCGCCCCCCAGCCTCCTCCCTCCTCCGCCCTGCTCACCTTTCCAGTCTAACTGGCTGGGGATAAAGGGCCAGTCACACCACTCAGAGTAGGAGGGAGACTGAGAGAGACACTACAGAGATACACAGGAATTAAAAAGAGACCGATAGCGACACACACACCCAGAGTCCTAGAATGTTTGCTAGTAGATCCGGAAAAGAGAGACCTGGAGATCATCTAATCCAGACCCCTCATTTTATAGATAGAGAAACTGAGGCTCAGACAGGGACAGAATCTGAAATTGAGACAAAGACACAGAAACAGAGAACAAAGGGAGACCAGGGAAATACAAATGAAAGGGAACAGATGAAAAGCTTTTGTGCGGGACCAAAATTACAGTGGTCAAAGAGGCATAGGCAGACTGGGTGGAACAGGAAAAAAGCATTGAAGGCAGCCCTTCCAGTTTCTCTCTCCCTGCCAGACTTCCTTTCCTCCCTCACCCTCCTCTCATCCCATGGCAGGAAGAGCTGCCTTTCCTTCTTTGCTAGTCATTTTGCTTACCTCCTGGGACCACTGCTTCCTCCCATGACAGGCTGGGCCCCACCCTCACTGGCTGGGTTCTGGATTTCCCCTAGTCAGGCTTAAGGCCACCATTGGGCTAGCCTGTAAATCCTAGGGAAGTAACATTGACATCCATACACAGGGCAAGGCATTTTACTCACAGAGGATTCCAGGAACCCCCAAACTATGATAAAATGCTGCTAAAAGTAGGTACTAATGATGGTTAAGGGCTTTAAGGTTTGTAAAGTATGTTATCTACATCCTTGGATGAACACAGATCAAGCCAGGTCCATTCCAGAGAGGAGTGTCTCAGCCAAAGACCCACCTTTGACAGGATCCCCCTTAATTTTAATGCATTCCCTTCTGTTGATTTTTTCCAATTTATCCTGCACATGTCTTGTTTGTCCATAGTTGTTTGTATATCTTCTCCCTCATTGGACTGTGAGCTCCCTGAAGGCAGGGACTGACTTTAGTCTTTTTTTTTTTCTATTTCTATTGCTCAGAACAGTGCTTGGCACACAGTAGCACTTAATAAATGTTTATTGGCTGCTTGGCATAGTAAAAACTAGTACCAGTAAAAGATATCCCTCACAAATCTGGTGTATACTCTTTTACACAGAGCATCAGTGGCAAGAGTGGACACATGCAGCATTTACACACTTAAGGCACACTTGTAGGGAACACAACCAGCCAAGGCATATGTCAGTTAGAAGAAATTTGTGTTGCAGTGCATTGATACTAACACTTGTTCCCACAGACTTTGGGCTCACAGTTTCCCCTGGAGTCTGCTTCATTGGATCCTGATGAATGCTGGTGCACTGGGGGCATCTCTGATGTGTGTTCCTTTGCTGCTTGCCTGTAGTCACCACCCCTCCAGCTTTGGGATCAGTTGACATCTCCAGCAGCTGGGGCACTGGACTTTCAACTGAATTCTGCTGTCACTTTCATAAAGTCATTGCCCATGGTGGGGAAGAGAGAGATGTTCCCTTCTACTCTCTTGCAGAATACTTTTAGAAGCAATCCCAAGAGCTTCCTGTCTCAATTCCTTGAGCTAGATTGTTAAAAGGGTTGACTTCTGTTTTTAAACATTCTGTCTACTCACTGAGTGGACAGAGAAAAGGAAATTTGGGCTATAATCTTCAGCCCAGTTTCCCGACTCTTAACTATGCCAATGGGTCACTCAAGGTCTGAAAGGGGCACACTCTTACAACCAGTAAACACTGAAGTCTGAAAGGTGAGTGCCTCATACTGCTGTCCCTCATATGTTATAATTACATTAGTTAGACTGGAGGGGAGGGGCTGTAACATGTGCGTGGTATTTTCCGTGATAGAATATCTCCTCAGACTCCTCAAGTGACAGGATTGGACTAACCTTTTTTGTGTCCTGGACCCTTTAGCCTTTTCAAGCAGCTTGGAAAAGCCTGCATCCTGGGCCATCTCCAGTTGTCCTGATCCATATCTGGCAACTGGACCCAGATGGCTATAGAGGAGAAAATGAGTAGAGAACTTCCAGTAGGGCAAGACAGCTGCTTTCCTTCTTTCTTTTTCTTTCTTCCTTCTTTCCTTTCTTTCTTTCTCTTCTCTCTCTTCTTTCCTTCCTTCCTTCCTTATGTTTCTTTCTTTCTTTCTTTCCTTGTGTCTTCTCTTGCTTCTGTCTCCACATAGGGTATCTCACTCTTACCAGCCAAAGGCAATGTAAATTTTAATCACTGAAACTTTTTTTGTTGTTGTTTTGGTTTTTTTCTCTTAAAGACCAGCCTTACCTCCAAATCACTCTGGTCCCAGACCAAGCCCTATTTGGTCCTGGATTGGGCCCTGATTGGCTCAGAATGAATGTAAATAACAATTGTTTCTGTTTTGGCCAGAAACCCTGAGAGTCTTCCCCTCTCAGATCTATTTTTTTTAAAGGCTATTCTTTATTTATTTATGAAAGGCTAGTCTCATTTTTTATTAAGCCTTAATCACTGAATGGGTGCTGCCTCAGTCAAACTGAGACCTCTTAAAGACCTTAGCTTGAAAAGGCCAAAGTGCCCCCTGCATCCAGGGCCATATCCAGTTGTCCTGATCCATATCTGGCCATTGAACCCAGATGGCTCCAGAGGAGAGGGTGAGGCTAGTCAATTTGCACAGCTCTCCCTCACTTAAATCCAGTTCACTTGCATGTCATAGCATCACCTCCCTGATGTCATGGTCTTCTTTGAGAACGAAGGACAAATAGCAGCAACCTCTGGCAGTCTGGTGAAGTCTGTGAACCTCTTCTCAGAGTAATGTTTTTAAATGCTTAAAATAAAATGCATAGGATTACAAAGGAAATTCCCACCCAAGTTCACAGAGTCCCCGAAATCTGTCTTAAACCTCAAGTTAAGAACCCTTGGACTAGATAATTTCTAAAGTCTTTTGCATGGCGCTTAATAAGTGCATCTTTGTGGTCATTATTAATGAGGACAGGGTCTATCTTCTGCCTTTTTTTGTTATCTTAGTGCTTAGCACAGTGCCTGGCACATAGTAGGGACTTAACAATTGTTTATTGAACTGAATTGAAATTATCTAGTGAAGATGGCAGGACAAGTCTCCAGAGCCTTTGCCTAGTTGTCTTTTTGTATCAATCAGTCAATCGATCAATAATCACTTATTTAGCACCTACTATGTACCATTCTTTAGTGATACATAGGCAACACTCCCTCTAGGAACTTACTTGCTATGGGAGGGACAACATGTATATGCATTATTATCTACAAGGTAATTTCAGGGGAGGCAAGGCTCTGATAGCCGCTTGGACCAGGAAAGGCCTCTGGCAGTAGGTGGCATTTGAGCAGACCTTTGAAGGAAACTGGATATTCTCAGAGGTGGAGGAGAAAAAAAAAGTGAATTTCAGATGTGAAGAGCAACTAATGCAAAGGGATTGGAGATGGTGTATAATGTGTGAAATATCCCATGAAGGCTAGTTTGGCTGGAGTAATGTATAAAAAGCCTGGAAAGGTAGATCAGAGTCAGGTTGTAGAGGTCCTTGCATAAATCAACATATACAAAATAAATGCAAGCTAAATTTTTAGGGGAAGGGGGACATTAGCTGCTGGAGCGGGGGGATCAGGAAAGACTTCATGAAAAGCTGAGTTTTGAAGGAAACAATGCACTGAGGAATGGCCTCCTTGCTATTCTTGGAACAAGATACTCCACCTCTTGGGTCCTGGTTTTTTCTTGCTGTCCCCTGTGCCTGGAATGCTCTCCTTCCTCGTCTTTACCTCTTGGCTTCTCTGGCTTCTTTTAAGTTCCAATTAAAATCATATTTTCTACAGGAAGCCTCTCCAACCTCTCTGAATTCTAGTGCCCATTTCCTATTTATCCTATTTATCCATATTTATTTGGTTGTTATTTCTCCCTTTAGATTGTGAGTTCCTTGAGGGCAGGAACTTTTGTTTCTTTTTGTATCCCTAGCTCTTAGTACAGTGCCTGGCATATTATAGGCACTTAATAAATATTTACTGACTGACTGACTATTGTATGTTACTAGGTAAACTTCCTCCTGAACCTCCTGACGTCATAGAGATGTTGGGGTACCACAGAGATGTGGTGAAGTGACATGAGCGCAGGCATATATTTTCTGGTTTTCTGGCCTCTTGGCCTGGAATGAACTTTTTTTGGTGGGGGATGGCACCCAACTATTTCCCAAGAGCATAATGCTTTGAAAATTTCCATCCAGAGTTTGAATCTCAACCATTTTTCCTTTTGTGTTCTTCTTAAATTGCCTGGGAGAAGGAATGGGGAGGAAAGGAGAACTCAATTTAAATTATAATATTATGACATCTTTTTGGACAATGTTTTAACTTTTAATTGCATTTTTTTTTGGCTATTTGATACTGCTATTGAATTATGTGGTCATTAATAGTCTAATCTTGTGAGTTTGGGATTTCGAGAGTAAGAGAAGGAAACTAACCAACAGGTAAAAATTAAGGATACCAGCTAATTAGAAAGAGGGGAAGTTTTGTAGTATTAGTGATTTCTGAGTGTATTCTGGAGCCTACCTGATAGGCTGCCTTTGAACCTAGAGAGAAAGTTAATAATGACACACGCCTATGGGCTTGTTGTTTGTAATTATATTGTCTGTGATGGCACTTTTTTGGCACTGTTTCTAGCCTTTCATTAGAAGATACCCCTATGTCTACACCCACATCATGCTATAATAGTATCATTGATTTAGGGATCTCAAATATCACCTAGGCCATCCTCTCATTTTATAGATGAAAAAAAAAGTGAGGCTCAGAGAAATAAATAACTTATTGAAGGTCACCAAGAGCTTAAGTACTAGATCTAGGATTCAAACTCAGGTCCTTTGAACTCCAAATTTGTCCCTAGTTTCATCCTTGCTCCATACTATCTCCCAATTCTTCTTGTTGTCCAGTCATGTCCAGCTTTTTATGACTCCATTTGGGGTTTTCTTGGCAAAGATACCGGAGTGGTTTGCCATTGCCTTCTCTTTCCAATTATAGGATTTACATATTTTCTAAATTAGGGAAGGGATATGCTACCCATTTTTTTTTTTTGACCTGTGATATTAGTGGAGGAAACTCCTAGTGAGGAAAGACCCTCTAAAAAAGCAAGTAGGCAATTGCTTTTCAACTTATAATCTTAGGAAGTTGCTTGGGCCCTGAGAAGTTAAACTACTTGCCTAGAGTCATTCAGCCAGTATTTGCCAGAGACTGATTTTGAACTCAGGTCTTTCTGACTCCAAGGTCAGTTATTACTTCAAGCTGTCTTTCATATACAAATGTCTTGTGTATCATGCATCTTCAATCAGTGAAGGCAGAGAAAGAAAACTT